ATTGTGAAGATCTTCAGTGAAGACGGCATGGGTAAAGTGGTGGAGATCCCAGCCGACATGACAGCCAGAGACCTGTGCCAGCTCCTGGTTTATAAAAGCCATTGTGTGGATGACAACACTTGGGCACTTGTTGAACACCACCCGCTGCTAGGACTAGGTAAGGGGCAGAACCCTGCAGGCCTGAAACAGTTCACATGCACACAAAGGCACACATGAACTGTCACTCACCCACACAGAAACTCATGGACTTTTGGGTGGGCTGAGACATGCAAAACAATCACTGACAGGTACATCCACGTAAATGCATGCATGCCCGCATACTTGGGCAGACAGATAGTTCAGCTGCATATTCTCGCGCAGGCATGTATTCAAGCATGAGTGCATGTGCATACTATACAGCATATGCATGCACCGAGCCATAATGTCCAGTGATCTAATCAAGTACAACACAATGGCTGTGTGATGTTGCTGTAGCAGTGCAGTAGTATGCCAAGCAGGGTTAGGTTGTTAACTCATGAAAAACTGAGACAGACATTGAGCACACATATTGAGCTGCTTCTCAATGTTTCTCATTAACATTGAATATGTAAATCAAAGGTATTGCAAACAGAAAGTGATGGAAATAGAAAATGCATTGCTCATGGGGTCAAAGTTGATTTTCTGAGTAAGGAGAAAATTGCAATTTAAGAACAAAAGAATTTGTAAGAGAGAGGAAATTGTTGTTGGCAGAAGATGGATTTAACGGTGTAAGATGGTGAATAATCCGAAACCTTGTCATCATAAAATGTGTTGCTGATTACATGTGTGTTGAGATAAATTCGATTACTGCCCTGCTAACTGACAGTGCAGTTAAAATAGACTGTGTTATGGAACAGATAGAGATTCCAATTTCAGTATGTGGTGCACTTGAAAGAGAATAAAAAGTGATGTATGTTTGAGATCAGGGTTTCCTAAAGTAATTCCATGCAAGTAAACAGCAGATTTACTGTTAGTTGCAGACTGTCTTTTCCCAGGGGCCCTTATTAGAAGCTTACCAATACTCTAGGACTTCTTGGGGAACCAGCGTGAAAAGTCTTGATGGTCCAGCTCATAAATTAAGCAAACACAGCAATTGATAAACGTTACATCTCGGAAACTTCTATCTTCAGACTTTCTTCTCGATACAGAGTAATTTTAATTTGGTGTTGGTGGTTGAGAAAAAAAGTTTATGGTTTATGCAGAGGGTAGTGAAAGCAACAGAGAGTGTTGTATATGCTATTTGACATCCTCCACTGATATTCCCAACTGGGACAGGCTCATGTAAGGTCACTAGACTGCTTGGAATCTGTTTTTTTTTTTTGACAAGGATCCAGGACAGTTCCACCCCAGATTATTATTGGTCCTGAGCTACTTTTTAAGAATAATTGTCATGCAGAATATTATTTTATGACATTTCATCCTTAAATTGTAAGGGGGATTACACAAAGGGCTCAGAGTGAAAGCCGGCAGATGAGAAGCTGAAGGAAGATGGTGATAATTGAAGGTTATGGATTAGGAGGATGTAGCGATGTAACTGATGAACACTGTAACAAAACCTTTGCTGACTTGTGCTCCTCTCAGTATCAGAGAAGGTGTAATGTTATCGATCTGGTACTATAAAAGACATAGCAGAGAGGTGATGGAGATGATTGATGAAGAGTTTAAAAAGCTGTCTGTTATGTTAAAGGTTCTTTAGACCCGGAGCTGCGATACAATCAACACCACTCTCCTGAAAATAGAATCTGTGACTTTGGAACTGATGTGGTTAAGGTCAAAATGATAAAGAGGAATGGGCAATAGTATTCTATGCAGAACATTAAGTTTAATAAGTGCAGCAATGTAGTCACTTAGAAGACAATAGCAGTTAGAGAAGTAGCATGTCATACAATAGATTCTTCATAGATTTAGGAGTAAACATTGCTGGAGATATTTGAGAAAGTGGAGGGGAAGGTATTGCTTCCATTTGCTAAAAGCTTCAAGACCAGGACACTCACTGTTTTGATATTTGTAAACACCAAATGTGGCACTAAAATAACACAATTAAAAGTCTAAAAAGTAGAAAACAAAAGTAGAAAAATTATTCCAGGAGTTAATCAGGGGAATTTTAACTTGTTGCTACATTAAGAAGAAAGAGAGCTTTGCGTTACTGTCCGGGTGATTTTGTGTTAGACTTGGCAGTGTAACAGTAAGTTTGGAAAGCTGTGGCCGGCTGAACGTTAGAAAACCCAACCTCCCCTTGAGGAGAGGGCGATTATAAAGCACTTATGGAAGACAAGTTGAGCCTGTGCTCTGTGCTCATGTCTGTACAGTTTAACAGATGTGGGAGAGAAGGGGGTGTAGTTTTATATAGAGCAGTGAGCCTGCTAGTGAAATATACTGTAGAAAGAGACATGGTGAAAAACATATGTAAAAACACTTCATCTCTGTTGTTTCAACTGACACCAAATGTAGTCTTAGATCCACACACATGTTGTTATGCTGTCATTATAGGAGACTTAGAAAATATATTGCATTATTAAAAGTACAGGTCCCAAAGTTCTAACCTAATATTTCACCATCCATCATGATCTGATTACATTTCTCATCAGTGCTGCCAACATGATGCTGCCAAATACAGTTACTGTAGGTTGGCTTGTTGTAAATGACATCATTTTTGGCTCTGAGTAACTCTATTCTATTATAGCCCTTCTTCTGTTCTGGCGCACCTGTACTGCAACCGTATCCTTTTCAGGTCTGGAATAACTACTTATCGTATTTTATGTTTAGGAGTTTCAGTAAATGAGATGTAATGAAGCAGCAGTGTGCTGATTGGTCAAATTGAAGGGTTATGCATTCGCCACTACAGCCCACTGTGTGTGTGTGTGTGTGTGTGTGTGTGTGTGTGTGTGTGTGTGTGTGTGTGTGTGTGTGTGTGTGTGTGTGTGTGTGTGTGTGTGTGTGTGTGTGTGTGTGTGTGTGTGTGTGTGTGTGTGTGTGTGTGTGTGTAGATGTGTGCATACTGTGGATTTATGTCTATAACACAATAATACAATAACTTAAAGTATCACAATTGCTGTAAAAACGTGGGAATATTTTGGTTTGGTCATATTTGTTACCCCTCTGTGTATTGTATGCATTGTGTATGTCTGACATATTCATTACAGTCATTTAGATATTTAGATGATTTGGCTTATTTGGAGCTCTGTTTGTTGTCTGATTGCCAGACCTTTCCTATAGTTGACGAATGTGGCTAGTTGCTTTTCAGTTATAACCTGTGATTGTAATTGTGTTTAAATTACTTCTCCATTAAGTGCTGATGTTTTTTTCTAGTTGTGAACCGCTGGGAATATAAGAGTTTAATGTCTTTCCAGTGCCAAAATATATTAAATGAATATTGCCTATATGTAGAAATACAGTTTATAGCCAATCGGTTATTACTTTGTAGAATATTTTGGCAATTTTTAGTTTACATGCTTTTTGCAGTATAGGAAGAGGCAGTATGTGAAAGTCCTGCTTTTATGTGTACGTGCTCGTGTGTGTGCACAGACATCGGCACTGCACATGTATGTGTCGTGATTCTTCATATGTGTACATGTGGTTGGGTGGTAGCCGGGAAAAGAAGTTTCAGAGAGAACAGAACAATAGTGTATTTGAATGGAGAGGCCTATTCCCGTACATCGCTGCCCACTCTTGGTACGCTGCTGAATGAGATAAAATGGCCCTTTGAGATAAGTAACATTGACCTCTACTTGTCACCCCGAAAAGCTTAACAACTCTGGGACAGTGAGGTAGTGTTGCCAGGGTGAGTCACTGTCACGAACATGAATGACTCATCAGACAGGCGACAGGAGGAAACGGAAAAGAAAAGAGGAGTCGTGACAGTGTTAGAGAGATTGTGACAGTGGGGAGAAAGAGGGAGAGCGAGGGGACACATGAAATGAGATAATGAGGCGAGATAGATCTGTACACTCCAATTACTCTCAAGTTCTCTATTTCACATAAAAAAGGAGAGATATCAGACCAAATTCTGGTATCGCAAAAGTTACGTTGCAAAATTTTAATTAAATCTACAGGGGGAGTGTCTTTTATTAAGGACATGACTGAGATATCATGCAAGGCTGTTGGAATTGACTGAGTCATGACCGGTTTCAACATCACATTCACAGGATATAAATCACCGGGCCCTCTGACCACATTCATACAAGGAAATACTTTCAGTTGAATCACAGCCTACATTGAAAGAGAAAGGCCTTGGTCTGCTCGTCAGTCACAGCTCGTTTGATGAGCACAATCCATTAAAACTAGTCCATATTTCTAAACATCCTTTTAGACCACGGAACACTACAAATGAAATCCAGGATAATTTTAGAGCATTTTGTACCATTCACCACTTGTCAACATTACCTAAATACTTCCCTTTAAACCTGTGTTGAGGTGTAGTCGAAGCCGGCAGTGAATGTGTGTAAGTGTGTGAGGGTGAGCGAGATATTAATTGCACAGAGACTGGTTGCTTAGAGGACTTGACCTTGATAAGAAAGTGTAAAATAGAATGTGGATGGCTGAGTTACACTTGGAACAAACAATGCCCTGGTGTTAAGAACATGTTTTAAAATTTTTTTAGTTTTTTGTTTTAAGGATATAAGATTATTGGTCCTTAAAAATAGAGCAAACTACTTGTTGAGATGTAGTGAGTGAACTTTTCCTCTCAGTTTTATTTTAATGTTTTTCTATACTTTCTGTTTTTGACTTTGGAGAAAGACTGATGACAGATTTTCTTTGACATGGGTCATTTTTAGCCAGAAATGTTGTGATCCTCTTCTTAACATATCCTTATTCACTACTTTGACAGAACATGTTATATTAATGTAAGTTTTATAATTATAATGAGCTATAAAGTGTAGTTGTAGGAGAATTATGAAACACTCTGAATAATATATACTAACCCTCTTCATTGTTTTCATTCCTCTCTCTGCCTGTCTCACTTCAGAGCGCTGTCTAGAAGACCACGAGCTGGTGGTTCAGGTCCAGGCCTCTATGAACAGCGACAGTAGATTCCTCTTCAGGAAGAACTATGCCAAATATGAATTCTTCAGAAATCCCCTGGTAATTTCTTAACATGCTGTGTCGCTCCTGATGTCCGCTTATTGAAATATGTTAATGCTTGTAAAAAAAAATACACCTGCAGCAACAGCTCCTTATGGATTTAGTTTTTCCATTTTTGTGATGTTTAACTCTGTTAATTTTAGATCATTTGAAATAAACAAGACATGGCAGTATTACACCACGTGGCTTCTAGTATTTAGAGCGGTCAGTCAAACAAATAGGCGTTCAAGTAAAGAGTTTACTGGTGTAATTTGGTCTAAAGAGAGGCAAATTGCCTCAGAGATGAAATGACAGACACGTTCTTCGACAAAGCGCCTCTTCTTGTTTTCTTTTCCTGTGAAATATTATGACAGCTGACTATACTAATGAGATTTGCATGACATTTCTTTTTCTGTCACAAATTCCTACCCCATAATTATTGTCACAGTGGCTCATATTCTCTGTCTGTCTGCCTTTCTCCACCTCCTCTTCTTCCACCAGACATTTTTCCCGGAGCACATGGTTGCATGGTGCCAGGAAACCAGCCGTACAATTCCACCATCTCAGCTCCTTCAGGTACATACAATATACACACACACACATTTCGTGTCTGTCTCTCATTCTCTCTCCTCTTCCTGACACGCACACCGGCTTATTTTACCTCCGAGTCAGCACCCACTACATAGTGTACAATCAAACAGACATACCTCACCTCTGACCCTTAGACAGTGTGTCTCGTCAGAGCCTGCAGTAATAACTACTGTTGATCCCCTGTTGACACATGACTGTCTCGGCACATGCACCGCAGGCCCGACACTTGTGATGGATGGAATTAGGCAGTCAGAAATAGAACATCCAGTTCCTCACCTGCCCACTGTTTGTTTACACAGAACAAATTCACACACTTGTGTCACGATACTTATCTGCCTCACAGACCACTCACGGGCCACACACTGATTTCACAAAAGATATGAAGGAAAGAAAATGTCTGGGAGGAGACCAGACAAAAAGATTCTTAATGGATGGAGGGTTTACATGCAGTCTGGCTCTCTCCTGTATCAAGTAATGCAGCTGTCAGAGACAGAGCCACCAGTGGAATCCATCCCTTCATCCTTGCCACTCACAAAAAGCTTTTAACTCCCCTGCTGATCATGGACGTTATGCTCCCGTTATGCTCTGCATAGAGGAGTCAACAAATGAATGGCGATGTGGTGAGCCTGAGTTGTGTCAGGAATCCCCAGTGTTTGACTTATCCTAAACACAAGATCTTTATACGCAGTTAGAGTGCTGTCCAAACCAAAGCTGTTTCTGACCTGAGCTTAAGCAGGTGTTTGCCATATTTGCCATTATTCAAGAAGCATATGTCAACGCAAAACAGCAAGGTGTAGTGCCTGAAGAAGAAAGCCTTTTGAATGAACTTGTGTTGGAAAATGTTGGAAAATGATCACGCATGAGGCCCATTGTAGGATGTTTCCAAAACTCTGGGAAACATGTGCTTTAAATATGGAAGAGTCCTCTGGAACAGTTTACCTTCCAGCCGCAAGCCACAGATTCCATATCAGCTCTAATAACTTAACCTGCCACTTCATGGTGTTATATTTTTCTGAAACATGGAAACCACAAACTCCAAATACTTGAGACACCCACAAGACAATTTAGGCTTTAAGGGATCCCAAAAGGAATGTACTGTATGTTGATTCAATGTATGTACAGGCACATTGCAAAACATGACAGCCACAATTTTCTTTTTCTTTTTTTTACCTTATCGTGGTCGCTACTGTGGAGTGTGTTCAAGCTGCTGCCCATCTCAACCATCAGCTGTCAGTCTTGATGTCAGTCACTAACACAAGAAGCCCAGATGACACTGTGTTCTTTGGCAAAAAGCAATTGCCTATGGTTTGGGATGCCTATACAGATGGTGCCTGCTACAGCTTTCAGTATCCGGCTGCAGCTTATAGGTTTCAGATGTGATCTAGTGTTGCCCTTGTGAGGCTCATAGATGGAGGACATTATAGAGTGAATAAATCCAAACCGTTTGTGTGCTGATCCTCTGCTCCTTTCCCCTTTTCAGAACTTCCTAGCGACCAGTAGCTGTCCAGAGATCCAGGGTTATCTGTATGTGAAGGAGGTGGGTAGGAAGTCATGGAAGAAAGTTTACATGTTCCTGCGGCGCTCAGGACTCTACTGCTCTACAAAAGGAACCTCAAAGGTAACAGCAACTTACATCTTTTCATCTTTAAGGGGCAGAATGCATTTCATTGTAATTTTTCTATTCTAATCTTTCTTTTTTTTAATGTTGTAATTACAGGCCTTATTTATCATTAGATAATTCATATGCATACTACATTAACATTATATAGTAATAAAACAGTAAATATTCCAGATTAAACATTATTACTTTCAGAGAATCAGCTTTTTATTGATGTTTGACTCTCTGTCAGTATACCTCCAGGCTGTGTCTCTCTGTGATGTTCTGACTTATTAATTATTTCTGTCTCCAGGAGCCCAGACATCTACAGTTACTAGCAGACCTTGAAGACAGCAACATCTTCACTGTCATCACAGGCAAAAAGCAGCATGGTGCACCGACAGACTATGAGTTCTGTATCAAGGTGAGTCTCACCTGACAGTAGTGAGATGGAGATGATTTCTAATGGAATATTATGAGCTGAGCAATGATTGACATGCTGTTCAGCTCCCTATCTCATGAGAACAGCGTTTGCATTCATGTGTATATATGAGTGCTGAGGTTGTGAGGACGATGAGCATGATTACCTCTTTTCGGATTCTGAAAAATGTTTATTTGCAGCCCAATAAAGGTCGCGGGGAGTTGAAGGAGTTGAGGATTCTGTGCGCCGAGGATGAACAGGGCAGGACTTGTTGGATGACTGCCTTCCGACTCTTTAAGGTAAAACCATGACAGTCTCAAAAAAGCCTCTACATTTACCAAACTTTGGTCAGGAAGTACATAATTACCGGGCTAGGATCCAGTTTCTTAAACTCGGCCGAGATCAAAAATGGGTTTGGAAGTTGAGTAACCAGCAAATCTTTAATTATTTATAATCAACTCAGTATGAATTGGGTTAGGGTTGGTTGACCAGTGTGTTCATTTTTCTTTACAGTATGGGATTGTATTATACCAGAATTACAAGATTCCTCAACAAAGAAAAACCTTACTTTCACACTTCTCAGCACCTGTGGTAAGTTTACCTCTTAATTTAAAATTTAGTTAGAGCACCTTAAAACTTTTTCATAACTCCCAGATCTTTGACATAAACATAACATTGATTGTGCAGAAATACTGTTGTATTGTATGCACCAGGAACATCTAACAAGTTTTGGAGAATGAATTTGAATTCATCAAAATGCTTACCTGTGCCACCCCACGTTTTATTGCACTGCCTGCAGCCTGGTCACTCTTATTGCTGCCTTTGTGTCCATATTTTGACTCTGATGTGTCTCTGTCTCCCCCTAGCGGAGTGTATCGGAAAACTCCCTTGTGGCAATGGATTTCTCAGGGAGGATAGGCAGGGTGATTGACAACCCTGTGGAAGCTCAGAGCGCTGCCATGGAGGAGGGACATGCGTGGCGGGTGAGACACAACCTCCTTTTTACTGTTATCTCTGTCAACAACGCTAGGAACGGACTTCAAAGGATCTCTACAGATGGCATTATTTATTTTGCTCAAATATTCATACATAGCAGGTTTTCCTCTGGTTGTACGTGTTGATTTTTTTGTTATTTTGAGCTGACAGGAGTTGTCGTGTGTGTTCATAAAGCTGATATGACTGTGGGGCAGCTGCCAAAATATTAAATGTGTCATATTCTAAAACTCCGGCCACAATAATTAAGTCAGTATAACACAGTATATTTAAGTTTGTCTCATTTAAGGTAATTTTACAATATTAGTAATGGCTGTTCCACATTTAACTGTTAAGAAATAGGAAGCTTCACCACCATATGTAGAGAAACTGTAATACAGTTCATTAACCATGCGTCATATATTCCAGATCATGAACTAATCCCTGTTGTTTTGTCTCTATGTGGCATCTCTCTCAGAAGAGGAGTCAACGAATGAACATTTTAGGCTCCCACAGTCCACTACACCACTCCTCATTAAGCTCAGGTAAATGCAAATACATTTACGATCTTTCACTTTTTCCCACTTTTTTTTAAGTTTATACAATATAAAAACATTTTGAAATATATTTTAAATGTTTTTTTCCCCTCTGCAGTCATCCACATAGCTCAGTTGTGGTTCCATGGCAGGATAACCAGAGAAGAATCCCATCGCATTATCCACCAGCAGGGACAAGTAGATGGGTAAGGGAGCTAGAGCTCGTTTTTCCTATATTCACTGAATATGAATATAACTCAAACTTTTTCTTGACTGCAAAGACAAAATTGAGTCAAGTGAATATTTTCCTCACAGCGTCCTCCTCTCTCTTATTTCACAGGTTGTTTCTGCTGAGAGTCAGTCAGAGTAACCCCAAGGCGTTTGTGCTCACATTGTGCCATCACCAGAAAATCAAACATTTCCAGATACTACCGGTATGCATTTATTTGTGTTTAATGTTGTTGGTTTTTAAATAAAATGTTTTTTCTTTATCAATTAGTGGACATTAAATGTTGAAAGTACATGTTACAAGAGCTTGCTAACAAGCCCAATTATGTAAAAACAGTGTTATGGCCCTTTTTTAAAAAAAAAAAAAAAAAAAAAGATTGATTCTCTCTTTTCTTTCCTCTCGCCATGTGGTGTGTCCCTGCTCGCTCTCGCCTGGACCCTTTGATGCCGGCAGTGTGAAGAGGACGGCCAAGTCTTCTTCAGCCTTGATGACGGCGCCACCAAATTCACCGACCTGATTCAGCTGGTGGAGTTCTACCAGCTCAACAGAGGAGTGCTGCCTTGTAAACTCAAACACCCGTGCACCGTCGTGGCCTTATGACATCTTCGGACCTTCTGACCCCATGACCCCTATCACATGACCTGACTCTGCCTAAAACAAACAAAACAACAAGAATCTTTCTGTTGGGCGGTTCTTTTTGGTTTTATCTTTATAAGAAGCTGGTGAATTGACTGATGTTTTGTTTTGTCACTTTCTATTGTCGTGAGTACGCCGGAGACTGCTGACTTGTTGGATTCCTTTTGGTTTGCATGGATGTTCGAGGAGTCGTATGCACAACAACGAGGTTCAGTAGTCAAGAAGAGAGAAGATAAAGGAAATGAACACTGCCGTTTGTGTCAATGCTGTTGCAGAATCTTCCACAATCTTGCTACCCATAGTCATCAATAAGCTTGGGCACAGTGACCCTCAAGGTTTTATCACACAGCTCAAGTTTACTGTGTTTCCCTTCAACTGGACAATCAGTAGGACAATTCAAGCTGTCGTGTGGACCACTCTGCTCTCTGAGAACAAACAGTAGTTTCATTCAAACTTCATCACACGTCCTCAAAGAATATACTGTAGATGGAGATTTGATTGTCTCTTAGTTTTGCACTCATCGAACTGGGAATGGCCTTTTGACAGTGCATGACTTCTCCGCTGTCGCAATACTTAACTGTGAGATGGTGCCACTGCCCTCTAGTGTCGTAGGCCTGTAAGGACGTGTCAAAATTCAACATGGATGAGATTCGGATGGGCCTGTAAGTGTTGCTTTTGAGTGCTTTTGAGGTTGGGAAACATCAAAAGTTTGTCAAATCAAACTAGCCTGGAGAAAATGGCTAAGGAAAAATCTGGAACTGTAAAAAGTCAAAGTATTTTTTTAAATAGTGGACAATTCAAAATCTGCATTGTCCACCCTCAAATTTATTTGTTCATCTCACACTATTCTTAATGATACATTTATTGCAGTTATGTATTGTTATTGATATTCTGTTTTCTTTAAGTCCACCTTTTGCATTCTGGATAGTTGTGGCTCTTCATTATTCACATAAGATTCAAAGAGGTCATTCTGTACTCATGTTATTCTATTACCAGCTACAGTTAAAGTATTTCCCATGCAACTTTCACAAAACTGAATAAGCAAACCACGGTGTCATTCAGGGTGAAATAACAAGTAATAGTGCTAGAAGAATTTTGTAACCAGGTAGACAGTTTTGGTGGTAGTAATGTTGAAAAGTGAAACCAGGTAACTATTTTGGGGGAAATTAGAAAATACAGCCATATGCAGCAGTTCACTGCAGGCAAAGTAACACCAGTTGCAAAAGATAAAGTCAGACAATGGAAAGTATCAATCTTTTGTGCGATTCTCCTCACCACAACACAGGGAGGGACAACCACTAGCATTTCCTTCAGGTGTTTTTCCAATGACAACAAATCAAAAGAAACACAAAATAATGAATCATTGTCAGCCAGGAGACACAGTGGATTGTGGGAAAAATCTGTCCTCATTCTGGAAGCTCTTTTCACATATGTTTTTCATATTTTTCCATAAATTGCCGCCTACCTGATGGAAGTCAGGGATATGCTGTCAAACATAAATGTGGCTAGGGACTCCACACTGATAGTAGACTCTGTGCATTACATTCCATATAGTGCGGCCTTTTTCTACCTGGAAGTACTTGTGAACCATTAGTATCACTTAACACCTACTGCCTACTGCACGCCACCTCTGTATGAATTCTGACTGTCTAAAAAAGTAAGCTGCTGTTGCTACAGTGTGGACAAAATGTGAAAGGAGAAAAGAATATTGTAAACAAACAATAGCTGCATCTCCTTCTCTATCTCTCAACCTGTCTCGCCCGGTCTCATCACACTTTCTTTAGCCTGCTGTTGTATAAAGTGAAAATCCTCTCAGTGGTGTGGCAGCAACGTAAAACTGGAGTTCAGGAGAATTCAGACTTCAAAATACAACTGATTATTTTAACCCATGTCCCTTTATCTTAATTCACTGAGTTGCCTCTGGGAGACGACAGTGAGAGCGTCAGACAGAAAACAGAGGACATAAAACTCTGAGTTAGTTTGTGGGCACTGGATACATCTACCTTTTGTCCCAGACTGTGCAATTTCAGCAAAAATCTATTGTTTTCCTAATGCCAGCCAAGGTCAGTCAAAGAGGTCTACATTTAAATGGATTTCCCTTTGTGTTTTGGCCGAGTCTATGCTGGAGATCCTGTAATTAACTATACTGAAAGAAAGATTTCACCACGGCGTCTCTAGATAACCAGGATCAATTTTTTTTTTTAATAGATAGGGATACTTTTTCAGCACCTATTGATCACGTCTGGGAGAATGGAGCTAAATAGACAACACATGAAGGGCAAAACCCAGCCATCTCAAATTCTGGGAAGACAAACATTAGGTAAATGCCCCAAGTTATTGCAAGTATTTCTGATTATATTTATACTCAAAGTTTATCAATTCGGTTCGTAATCACCCTCTTTGAAATGTCTCACCACAAATAGCAGTTTTCAATAGCAATATAGCCAGTTCAATTTTTTCACCTGAAATTTCTAAAACCTCACACTTTAAAGTTTTATTTAGTCCAAACTTTGGTGGTAGCTCTGGTTAGGTCACCAGCCAGCTGACAATTAGATATCTATTTGTACTTACCTGTAATACAACATCAACAGCCATGATTTATTTACCTGCAGGTTGTCTTAAAGTATATTGAACATCTGAGATTCAGAATAGCTGTACCATATTGACTCTCTGTGCATGTTCACCCTTATTTATCTAAGATGCAATGACTCAATCATTTTTTAAAGTATTGTTGCAGCAAAATGTATTTATTTATCTGGATGTGACTGATTACTTGAAAATTTTAGATTTATTTTTCTCAGCGCTGTTCTGTACTGTTTTCTTTTGTCATTACCATGAAATGATTGACCAGTGTGATTTATTATTATAATTATTATTATTGTGATGACATAGCATCTATTGGTGTATTTTGTTTTCATTTTTTAGTTTAATTCAAAAAATTATTTTGTCATCATCAACACTTGTTATGAAGTGATGTTTTAAAGCACACTGGCACCATAGTGTTAACATTGTCATTCCAATAGATGACAGGTGGAATGTTGTGAAATTAAAAACAGAGAATACCTGAGTTTCCCAAAGCATTAGTTACTAACTTGTTTTTTCACCAAGATCTATAAAAATATCTTTTTTTGTTCCAAATTATTTTTATGTCATTTTATGTTTAAAAGCCTCAAATGTTTTCCTCATCACTGACCTAAACTTCAAAAAGTAGATATAAAGATATTAATTAAAGTAATAAAGCCACAAATGTTTTGGGAAACTGGGTCAGTTTAGCCTCAACATTCTCATAATTCACTGTTTGAACATCTTGCCTTCAGGAAAGAATTGTAAAAATTTAGATGTAGAGAAAAGCCCTTTACATTCAAGTTACCCCCTCCCGTGTAATTCAAACCATACCAGAGCATCATTGTTAGATGGGTCACAACATTGACATCCTTTCAGCAGAATGAAATAACTAGTAGGTAGGTTTTATCATTTACATGAATGTGGAATCCCGATTCTAACAAAAATGATTTTGTAGTTGCTGAAAATCATCTTGAGCTGTTGAGATGTCTCCGAAATGTTGATTCTAGCTGTTTTCCCTGAGATTGGATTCAGTCCACCCACTCTGCAGTCATCCTCAAACTCACAATATTTAAAAAGAAATTCTGATTGAGGTGAAAGGTGTCAGCTGTCAACATGTGAGAGACCAGTGGCCTTTAAGGTGGAGTTGACATGAAAACTGTTATATCCACAGGGTCTCACTCTAAATGGAAAATGCAAATGCAAATTCAGTTAATGAACACATGAAAAAATAATCAGGGGATTTGGATATCCACGCTTTTACTCTTAACAGAAATGAATGTAACTGGGTTGCTCAGGGTTGACTTGGAGCATGTTAAAAACTACTGGTCCGTCAGATCTTTTATGTACAAGATGATGATGGATTCATAAATATTTTAGTTCCATTAAGGTGGGAGTTGTTATGACAGACTTTTTTCCCTTATGTGCAACACCAATCTGCTAGTTGTAATTACTTGAAAAGTATCCTTGCAGCAAAATTGAGTAGATCCAGTACTATTTAAAGAGTATGCTTAACAGTGTTGCTAATACTATTGTTCAAGCTGTTTATAACGACGCCTAAAATACTTACCTGGCTACCTGCGATGAGTTAAAACCCCAACAGGTGATCATAAAACATCCTGAATTTTCATGCCATCAATTCTAATAAAATGGAAGAAATTCGATTAATTTAATTATATTACGCTGTGTTTTACAGAGATTATCAAATAGACACTCAAACATGTAAATAAAACATCTGACAGTGTCAGTTTTGGTAGCCAAGTAACTTGTAACAACAGATGGTGCCTCTGATGACTTCTCTTTCTCTGCACAAACCAGGCCTAACATGTGGACCAAATGACACACAGGACTATCACTTAGAGGGGACCGTTCACACTCAACAACCTTGCAATTTTAATAAGTTCTTATTATTGTATAATACAATTAGTAAAAAAAAAAAAAAAGCAAAAGGCACTCAAAATGATTCTGGTGAAAGGAAATATAGAATGAATGCTTGTATTTTCAGTTGAAGTTTCAGTTAACTTTTAAGGGTGAAAGTGAATTGGCCCCTATCCTGCAAAGATGGATTAATCGATTATCACCTTAACTCTTGTGCATTTTCATAACATTGTCACAATGCAAGATACCGTGGCTGTACAAATGAGTAAAGTAAAAATATATCTATATATAAAAATATAAACTATTATGTATTTCAGGGAATGCAAAAAAGAAAACAGTAACTTATCTCTTTTTTATAAGAGAGAGCTCCTGTATTCAAAATGTGCTTTGCTTCAATCTGTAAATAGTTGAATGGCTTATAAATCTTAATTGTAACCTTTTCAGGTATTTTTGTACAAATAAGGGACTGATATATTCTGTTTATTGTAATTAGAATAAAACATTAATACATTGATATAAAAACCTGTGTTTGTCTTCATTTAGGGAAACAGTTTCGAACTAAAGAATGTAACTGTAATAGGTGTGTGTAATAGATTTGTTATACCATACTGTACGGGTATCGGTTGTCACAACAGTTTTGTGTTTTCCAGATTCAAGTATGTCTGAAAACAAATGTTCCAAATTCTGGTTTATATCCTGGGTAAAATACAGATATTAAGATAAAATATAATAATTTCCTACTGAAAATCTACTGAAAGAGTTGCCCTTACGTTCTCCACTAGGTGGTGCAATAGCACAAGTTCAGGGGCAGATAAAATCACTCTAACAGTATTTGAGTCACCCTAACTTATCATGGGGAACAATTTATTAACAACACATGGAACCAATAAATCCAGTAAAAAATCTATTATGTGAATGAATGCTCATGCAAGGAAATGGGTCCCACTCTGCATTGGTCCTGCAGAGAAATGACCCTTTGACACCCTCTCTGGTCTGGTGTGTCACACCCTTTGGATTATCAGTCATGCAAAAGTAGTGAGGTTTTAGGTTTTGTTGTGGGTAAAGAAAAAGATTAAAGATTAACAAGTCTGAAGCTTTGCAGTCCACTCAGTAACTTTTAATTTCCTTTTACACAAACATCACGAAAAAACATTAGTTTGCTATATTTTTATTTTGTGTAGACAGTGGATGGAGAAAATATGGTGGCAGTCTTATATTTTGTTTCCATTGCTCTCTTCAGTATTTTGTTTTATTTTGGATTTCCTAGCTCTTGGTTTCTCTAATTCTCTAATTTACTAATGTGAACCTCTTACCTCTATAGTAATTGTGTGTGATAATTGCTGTTTGGTTTGATTTGATATATATATATATATATATATATATATGTGGGTGGCAAAAGGATGGCAGTAAGGTATGCATTATTTCCTTGCTCAGTGAAGTCCTTGATTTCAAGATAGTTAAGACAGGGCCTGCTCAGCAAAATAACAACTGGAAAAACATATACAGGAGAGACAGGGACCCTGGATATATATATATATATTATCTGGAAAACTTGAAGACTTGATTATTGCAACTCCATGCAAAACTCTTCAGAGTATTGTTTTCAGAATTCACCAGCAACTTTTTAATGTATAGTACCCGGCCACGTACACACATGCATCCACAAATCATTTACTCATTAAACTGTGACTAGCAATGATAAACTTTTATTTGAAAAGTTTATCATAAATAGATAGATAAAAAGTGTTTGTATGAACTAGACATGTGGACATGGACAGAGGTTTTGCCAACTAAAAATTTAAACTACCAAAATCAGATGGAAATGGAAGACAAATTCAGTTTTATCATGTAAAACGTTGCCTCATTGTCAGCAACATTGATGAACAAAAAGGTAACACTTTATTTCAAGGAGTGTGCATAAAACTGCCATAACATCTGTCATGAACATGAAGGAATCTTTATAAATGTTTGTGACTGTTGTCGTTAATTGTTATTCTTCAATTATGCAATTTTTATTGTCAGACATAAACATTCATCAAGATTTCTTCATGGTCATGACAAGTGTCATGTCAAGGTTATCGCAGTTTCCTAACAGTTTCCTGACAGAGTCATTCCAGTGTCGTATAAACACATCTTCAAATAAATGTATTTATATATTTATATAATGTTATATTGATCTGAATATGACTTATAGGCCATGGAATATATAGTATACTATATATACTAATACTGTTATGTTTCGTCATCATTTTTTTTCTTGGTCTAACCAGGTTATTTTAATGCTATTCATTTCTACCTGTGTACATGTACTGAGTGTGTGTGTGTGTGTGTGTGTGTGTGTGTGTGTGTGTGTGTGTGTGTGTGTGTGTGTGTGTGTGTGTGTGTGTGTGTGTGTGTTTATTAGAGGCACATTAATCACAGCTTCAGGAACTCCTTGTGAATCAGTCTGTCTTGTACTGGCTGTGAGCCCCGTTCCCATTGGCTGGCCTTGCAGGGGTTGGTGGGGTGGGGGTGGTTAGTGGCAAGATAAAAGGAGCAAATGTCTCTTGTCCTGCTTACACACACAAACACACTCACCACGTGCCTGTTTGTCTGTCCGTCTGTTTTTGGGCACTAAAGAAGGGGAGAGGATCCACCATCTAATCACAACTGCTGAATCTCCCACCTGAAAATGTAAGTATACACACACACACACACACACACACACACACACACACACACACACACACACACATCCATACAAACATGTCTAATCCTATTTGAGATAGGGATAAGGATAAGGGCTCTGCTTCTCAAGAAGGGAAAGGGGGATGCATATTGAAACACTTGTTGACTGATAAGGCACTATAGAGCAGGGGGCAATGTTCATGTTGTTGTTCCATTTGAATAGTCACCATGCCAGTCATTTTAATGGGAATATGTTTATATATTATATATATATGCCTATATAATATGCCTTCTGTTCAATTCTGATTAATTTATTGTAGCAGGTGTATTCTTTAATGTGCGCCATGTTCCCGGGTTTCTGTTGACAAAGAGGCTCATACATGCTATTTATAAATGTGCCTTATCCATTAAGTTGTAAGCCGGTGTGATCAAAAAAATATTGATATGGCTCTGTTAAACAGGCTTGTAAAACTGCCCTCTGGCACACTGTTTTATGAATGAGGTCATGGTAACAGTTTATACAAAGAGATTTGTTTTAGATATGGAAATGCTTTTTACTACCTAGCTTTTCTGTTCACCTCAGTCCATAGAGTGAAAGTAAACTAAGCTATGATCAGACTGGCTTAATGTGTTGGTAAGAGGGTCAAGGGCTCATACACACATTTAAATTGTGCAAGCTTATACAAACTGTGTCAAGGAGCATGGCTTTGTGTGCAGGCTGTGTGTGTGTGTGTGTGTGTGTGTGTAATGCTACTGCTAATTCTGTAAATGAAAACAAATTACACACACAAGCCATATGAATTGGAATTACTCTAAATCAAGATTGACAATATGCAACCAACCGCTATAAATGTGTCGTGAAGGAGTATTGCAATTAAATGCCTTATATTAAATGATAATATTAACATCATAAAGCTCTTAAAAAGCTTTTACATTTGGCAATTTAGAGCTAAAATCATTCTAGCAGTTTAATCTTTACTAGTTGTACCTTTCTTAAGTATGATACATATTTTAGTTTGAGCTAACATTTTCCCAGTGTTCCTTATTCTTTCACAATGTCAGTAACAGAAATTAAAAAATAATTGGTTTGGAAAAAAGGATGGCTCAACCTCTAAATTGACTCGTATCAGGACATTTCCTTCATGAAGAAGAAATGATGCACTGCAGCTATACCTGAGATGTATTAATGTGTATGACTGTGTGTATAAAGATTTGTTAATCTCACATAAATATGAAAAAGAATGAATGGTTCAGTTCAATGGGTCAGAATACAGTTAACAAGTTCACGAGTTCATTCAGGGTGAAGTCACAGATTATTTTATTATCGCTAACTCAGATGACCTCATTCATAATTAAGCCGGTTAACTCTACAATGATCAACTCATTCCTCAATGAGTTAAACGATGCAACTTGAATACTGTGTCTGAGTGTGTGTGTGTTTTTTAATTTGTCCACTGTTTGACTTGGCATTACATTTTAATCTGAAAGAAATCACAATTAAAATTAAAATATCAACAGCATGGTGCTTGAGTTATTAATGTTTCTGTGCTGTATTCAAGTTGTACCATGGACGCAGCAGAGTTCCGGCGCAGAGGGAGAGAGATGGTGGACTTTGTGGCGGACTACCTGGAGAACATAGAACAGCGACCTGTCTACCCAGATTTGGAACCGGGGTATCTTCGTTCCTTGATCCCCACTGAGGCCCCACTGGAGCCTGAGAATTATGAGGATATTATAAAGGATGTGGAGAGGGTCATAATGCCAGGGGTGAGCTTGTACTTATGCTGGTGTTGAAGATGTCAGATTCTCTTTTTCCCTTCTGACATTTTAGATGGCTTTTCTTTTGGGGAATCATGTCGATTGAGTAATCTGATTACAATAAACTGCTTTAGTATCTCCCCTCAGTAATCACAAAAAATGATATCATATTAAGGATAAAGCAAAAGGTCCCATTATGTAAGCAGCTTTGTAACAAGGATAACCAGCAACTGTTAATTTTAATTAATTTAATAATTTATTTAATCTCATCTCAGTATAGCTTGGATGACATAAAACAGAATTATCACAATATTAGTGATACATTTAGAAATGTTAAGATGAAAGTTTTTCTATTGATATGAAATCTTACTTTACTGAGCCTTTTGTTTGGAAATCCATCCAGGTAATCAAAGTAATTTGTACCAACACTGCATATTGTACATTTAAGCTCTTCCTCTTAATCTATGCCCATGGGTATTAAAACAATTAGAGGAACTATTTACATTGTGGTTAATTTGTTAGCACGGTTGCCATTAGCAACAAGGTCCTTGGTTTAAGCTTAATTTCTTTATTGGCAAACAAACAAACAAAATCAAACTTGGAAACATGCAAGTGTATGTCTGTCTGTATGCCATGCATAAATGCAGCGCTGCATGAGTAGAGTATTACAGGAGGTTGTCAATTATCGGCAGAAGCGCCTTTAAAATCATGCCAAATATCACCGTGTCTCTCCAACACCTCCATTACATAGGTGGCAGTGTACAGTAGTCTCAATTGATGACTAACACTGGAAACCATGCAATGGGAATTCAACAGTTGTATTGTGTGTAAAGGTTTCCATTGCAACCACAAATTAAAGCGTATTATTTCACCTTTGAATGTCATTGTGGCTAAAGAACTGCCAGTCAGTGAAAATACCTTCTGTGGTCTTTGGCAGCAAACCACCTCTACTTCCAGCAACCTGTTGTGCCATGGAGTTGTCTGGAAGTGTATGTTAGCTAAAAAGCCGTGGAAATAAAAAAAACAGAAGCATTGTTTACTATTACTAAAACTGTAATTCAGGAAACAATCATTTTCACTACCAATGAAGAATTAGGGCTGGTCTTGTTTTCACATTAATTAAGTGTTGCGTGTCTTTCTTCCAGGTCACCCACTGGCACAGCCCGTATTTCTTTGCCTACTTTCCAGCTGCTTCCTCTTACCCTGCCATGTTGGCCGACATGCTGTGTGGAGCCATTGGCTGTATTGGATTCTCTTGGGTAACAAACACTTTGCTTTGTTTCTGTATCTGACTCAAGATGTCTGTAAACTTTAGTTTATATTTATATGCAGAACGTTTGAGATTTTGTGTTTGTATTTTCCGTCTTCAGGCTGCCAGCCCTGCCTGTACAGAGCTGGAGACAGTGATGTTAGACTGGCTGGGGAAGATGCTGCAACTGCCTGAACATTTTATAGCCGGGACTCACGGTCACGGAGGAGGTGTCATCCAGGTACACAAAAAGTGCTGGGTCATTTCTATAAACAAGTTGTTGGGTTGATTATGCTGGGTCATAATCTTTGAGTTATTTGAGTGTACACACACTGTTTGGTTGCTAATTCTGGCTCAAAGGGAATGTAATGGGTTAATTTGCAGCTGAACAGCTGATTGGGTTACTTTGACCCAGCTGCTGGTTTATTCATTTTTCCGCTCTTCCTTCTTCTCTGGCTCCATCTCTTGCAGTCAGAGGTTTGCACAACACATGGTGGGCAGGATTTTATAGCAAGTTATATGAATGTTTTACCTGCAGTAAAAGCATGACTTAAACTCATTTCTCTATCTGGGATTATGGGGGTGGTTGTGGTTTTTATTCTGTGACATTTATTAACTCACCTTGCTTTACTGTACTACAGGTGTCATGATAACCAGAGAGTTGTGTCAGGCATTAAAAGCATATCTCAAAACAGCTCTACAGAAGTTAAACCTATGAGGAGCAACCTGAAAAGAAAAACAAACAAAAAACAGGTTTACTATTGAACCCAGCAATGGTTAATTTTTAATGTTGGGATAAATTAACAAACATTCTGGTTTAAATGGTTAAACCCATCACTTGATTCAAACCAACCCAGCACAAGCTCTGTCCAAGAGTTACTTTTTTAGTGTCTTATTCCGTATTTCGTATTTATGCCTGTTTACTCCCTGCACAAATACATTCTGAGGCAGTCAAAGGAGTCAAACCATTTTCTGCTCACATTTATACTCTTCCGGCTTTAATTGTCTTATGACTTTTTGTAGTATTTGTACTAACACAATTTCTGTAGTTTACTTGCCAGTTTGACTTTCATAAAAACAAAGGTCTTTATACTGCCCCTAAACCCATATTCATCAACAATTTGTCTACTATTGATTTGTCATCTCTTTCTCTCCCTGGTTTACACCGGTTGAAAATTGACAGGAAATTGCCTTTTAATATGTCATCCACTGCTAGACAGAAATGATGGTGCTGGGATTGTTTCGTGTGGCAAAAGGCTAAGCATTAGTTTAGCGTTCCATTGACAGAAACACAGAGGATGCTCTCTGTGTGTGTGTGTGTGTGTGTGTGTGTGTGTGTGTGTGTGTGTGTGTGTGTGTTCATAGGATTGTGAGTAGTCGAGCATGAGAGTGCACTCTGATGACAGATCATTTCATGCCTCTTTTATTGTGACCACCTGAGTGTGAGCATGTGTGTGTGTGTGTGTGTGTGTGTGCGTGCTCATGTTTTTGTTTCTGTCCTGCCACTCTGCTTTTTAAGTGCAGCTTACCGGCTCACTATGGCAACGAATAGGGCTCTTCTCTCGGCAGCAGGGCTAATGAGTGTTGTGACAGCACATTGCCAGTCTATTATTATAAACCATATACAGGGGAAATGGGATAGTTTCAAAAAGACCCTCTGGTGACCTTAGATGTCCCTTTTTACCCCAGTTTGAGTCAATAGACAATAGACAGAACAAACAGTTTGCCTATGATTGAAATACATTACAAATTACAAAATATTACAGTCTAATTGACTAAAGCGTCAGAGAAAAAAAATGATAGTGTGTGATCATTCCACGGTTTCTTCTAGGTAAAGCTGTCAAATCACAAACTTGCAGTTTTCCTTCTAATGAATGCATTATCTTTAGTAGTGGCACATCACTACTTATCCTTAAGAGCAGCTTTTCGCTTTAGCTGGTAAAGGGAAAATATGCAGCAGGTTTCAAGGCTTTTTATAGTATAATGCTTGCTCAGTTACATTTGAAACTGAACAGGCTATATTTCACTATTACTGGTGGGTAGGAGGATGGATGACCGCTGTTAGACTTTTATGAAGACCTTATATCTCAGGGTGGTGCTCTGTAAGCAGGGAAAGGACAGGAAGTACACTCTGGTAAGTTTGGGATACGTGATTTGATGGATAGGTTGACTGATTGATCCATTCTGTGGGTTCTTAATCTCTTAAAAATCAAGCTTAATTTTGCTCTGCCTTTGCATTTGTTTTGATACAATTGACACAGCAGCCTACTTGAGTGATTTGCGCTTATTGATTGAATAATTTGAATATTTCATTGACTTTTTTGTGGTAATGCCCCCAGATGGCTCAGAAACCATGCTCCACTTCATTATGTGGCCTCAAACAATTCTCATTGTATCAGGCTGACTGGGTGATGAGTCACGACACAGTTTCTAAACACAGTGATTTTCCTAATGAGGATGTGGAGGTGTCACAGTGTTCAAATCAAAGGGAATGTCCAACAGCACAAAATGCTTGACTAAATTTTCAGCTCTATGTGTTTGTGTGTGTTCTCAAAAGGTTTGGGTGTTATTGTGTGCAAGCATCAATAAGATCACTAACATTACAGGCTAGCATCAAAGTTAATTAGAGAAAGTAAAATAGGAAAGTTAATATAGATTATAGATTATTGCTCATGTTTACAGTCATCTGTCAGACATCTTTCAATTAAGATGATACATGCTCACAAAATCAGCATTAGGCATGTTTAAATGCACATTAACATACCAATTAACTGAGTCCAGAATTGTAGCTTGATATATGATTTGTTTGCCATTCCAACAACAGCAATCAGCAGCAACCACAATTATACAACCACAACTATTTAAACAGATGTTTGACTAGGGCTTTTCCTTTGCTGAAAAAATCAGCATGACACCCTCCCTACTGTCACTGACTGGATCTATCCACCGTGGACATCGTCATTCAGGTCATAAAGCAGCTTTTCTCTACTGTAAACATCAAATTCAACTTTCCATCAGAATCAGTTTCCCAATATTACTATTATTATTTAAGAAAAGGCCATGCAGTCAAGCAATCATGCTTACATTTTTATACGTGCCTAGATGAGGTTGTTCATAAGACAATTTTGAACTGCAGCAGCTCCAGCTTTATTAGCACAGAACAACAGCCCACTTTAAAAAATCAGGTCTTTCTGAAATACTGCTTTTGTATGTATTTCTCCAACAGGGCACAGCCAGTGAGGCAACCCTGATGTCCCTGCTCGCTGCTCGCTGTAAAGCTATCCGACGAGTCCATGCTTCCATTCCTGAAAATTCGGAGGCTGATATCCTCTCCAAACTGGTGGCATACACCTCTGAGCAAGTGAGCACAAAAAAGCAATTTCCAATCACACTTATGTACTGTTCTAATTTTACCCACATTTCTGACTTGATCAATGTTTTTAAAGTTAACATGTGATACATTAGTTTATTGAATAGCCAGTGTCGTAAAACAAAATACAATACATCAGTGCACTTTCTGTGAATACGTTGACTTCTGTGAATTATCTCAAGCAACGGCAGTCCATGTGAACCCAGACCATTAAAGGTTGCCTCAATAATAGTGAAAGAGTTTTTCAGTGACTGGGTGAGACAGAGGGTCAGTCAGGCAGCAGCTATCTCTGATCAGGTTTAATACCAGGCTGACTTTGTGATTGAGTTAGGGAGACGCCTGAGGGCCACACAGACCTTTACAGGGAGAGCAGTTGTTTTTGTACTGAAGAACACTGTTCTTTCTCGTTGTACTATCTATCTGAACCCTATTATATCAAAATGATATTGACATGGACATTAACTCTCCATATGAAATCATTCTGTATCCATTAATAAAAAACTAGGTGTTGAGACATGTTTATCTTTTTACTAAAAGCAGGTGGGAATTCAACCCTGTGATCTACCAACTCGTTAACACTGAGTTTCTCACAAATGTTGAATTTCTTTCGTCCTAAGGCTCATTCCTCAGTGGAGCGTGCTGCTCTGATTGGAGGAGTGATGATGAGGAAGGTTCCTACAGACAACAGCTATGCTGTCAGAGGGGACATGCTTAAGAAGATTGTGGAGGAGGACAAAGCAGCTGGACTCATCCCTTTCTATGTAAGAAAAGACAAAACAACATCTATCCATCCAACTATCACAGACCTAACACACATAGACAGACATATTCAGCAACATAAGCGACATTAGATAGTGTTCATTTTTACATTGAGTTGCACACAGCTGTCATTGGATTTCTTTGCTACACATGTAAACATTACAACCTATTCAACTGCTAACAGACACAATGATACAATTTGCTTTTGATGCTGGTGTGCACACCCTGAGGCTTCTGTTGAAGGATAACATTGTTTCTGGTTAACCAAATGAATGTCTATCTGGTTAAGGACAACAATCTCTGTCTAATCTGGAACCACAGATCACTATCAGTGAGCAATATTCAAGAGGCTGCAATAGTCCAGCAGCTCTGAATCATCTGTGTTTATTGAAACTGATATCCAGATCTATGTTTGTTATAGTTGTGCTTGTATAAAAACAATATGTCACAGTAGCTGCAATGAATTGTATGTTTGTGTCTTTCAGTTCTGTGCGACTCTTGGCACCACTCCATCATGTGCTTTTGATCACATCACCGAGCTGGGGCCCTTATGTGAGTCAACCTTTGCAGCAGCACATATTTAATCTTTTTACTTTACAGCAGGAAAAGGGTTAAAAAGCCCTGTTGACTTTATTGGCTTTACAACACACACTTTAATTTAAGAAAATGAAATCACTGCAATTAATAGATAAATGTGAATTTATGACTATGGTTAGTAATTCATTCATCCATCCCAGGTTATTAAATCTCGATTGACAAAAGTAATTATTTTACTCTCTCTGTTTTTTGTCCATTCCAGGTAATGAGGAAAATATGTGGATGCATATTGATGCAGCATATGCTGGGAGTGCATTTATCTGTCCTGAGTTTAGGCCTTTGCTGAATGGCGTGGAGGTGTGTACAAATATGCAAACACTCATGTTAATACGGTGCATGAGCACTATAATATAGTATAACATATATAAACATATACATATATATAATATATATATATATATATATATATATATATATATATATATATATATATATATTAGTAACTGATTTAGTAATACTGTATTAGAATATTGGCAAAATGTCTATGACTCGGTCACTCCAAGAACTCTGTGAGAAAAAGGATAGATAGAGGCATATTTAATATAGTTTAAGTGTGGTCAAAAACTTGAATTGTGCATCCTCCTGGATGTTGCTGAATGACAAGACAACCTATTTCTGTTCAATTGGCTGTGAAACATCTTTCATAACATCTATGGAAGGAAACACTAACCGCATACTGATTATATCCAGCTGCTTTTTTTTGGTTTGAAAATGGCATAACGTTAATGTCAAGGAGGAAGCATGCAAGAGTGAGAAATAGGCCGAACAATCGGCATTAGTGCAGGAGCATCAATCTGCCTTTTGAGGCTGCCGAGGCAGCTGTTGCTCCCCAAGCTGTGCAGAGACGCAGAGATAAGGACAGAGTAATTTCCTGAGGCAGCATTAGACCTTTATATATCACTGTTTATTAGACACTCAAGTTCAAACAATGTTGGTGGGGAGACAGAGAAAACAGGCTTGACTGCAAAAGGACCAACTGTTGTTTAATCTTTCTTCCTACTCATAGTTAGCTTTACAGTAACAAATTTCCTTCCCATAATTTCGGAATTTTACATTTTCTAATCTTATGAGTGCAATTGGAATTTGAGAATCATGGTCTTTCTTAGAGAAACAAACTTATTTAAACCACATGCAGTAATACTTAGTAGATTACCTATACTGTAGTTATAATATATATAACATTATGAGATCAATGAAAATTATTGAACGAGGACATGAAGAAGGAAGCCAGTATTTTAGGATGAGAGTGCAGCCTTGCTGGAGGGTTGGTTGCTAGGATATGGGTGATGAGCGAGCAGGCAACCAGCCCCCTTTGAATCAGTCAGCATGGCAACTGTCAGCCAGGAGTCTGTCTCACATTCTCTCTCTGTGTTATTGCATTTGTGCAGGTAGAAAAAAGGATATTAAAAAAGATAACCAACAACAAAAAGATGAGAACCGATTAGGAAAGGTTTGTCCCTCTTTGAATGAAGCCTGCCAGGAAAGGGTTATTTTCTTTGCGCTCTGCAAGCTGTTGGCTGGATGTTCCTCTTTTGCATTTCAAATAAATTGTGCCTGCTTTAGTCTAGATAATGCTCTCAGCGGGAGTAATAGTAAATACACCATGTAGTATGGTGTGTGTATTTGCAAAAAAAAATTTTTGGCGCTAGTGTTACATGAACAATAGAACTTTTATGACCAGTTATTAAATTTCAGATTAATTTCAGACATAACATGTGTTAACATAACATTGTGTTAATTTTTGTTATTTCATACCATTCTAGTCAAACAATGTGGCTTCATTAAATTTACACTTGTCTTGTTTCTCTTTTAAGTTTGCAGACTCTTTCAACTTCAACCCACACAAATGGCTTCTTGTCAACTTTGACTGCTCTGCAATGTGGTAAGTTGCTGCCCAGTTCTGATAGTAGAGTACAAAACCCAGCAATATTAATACAAGCTGCATTGTAGTATGTCGAGATACTGTGTGACACAAAGCCCTGTTTAACAAAAGAAGGAGATTTATCAATGTTTTTTTTAGCATCTGGCACCCTTTGTGTTTTCAGTAGGTCAGAATATTTACCAATTTACCTTGGAGTGACTCATGGTCCCCATAAAGTAACAATGAGCAGTTAGTGTCATCACAAAACTGATATCCATCTACACCTCAATCATTTGCACAGTAAAAATAGAAGTACGCCTTCCATCTGCCCCTTCTGTCAGCACCAACCAAACGAGACCTGCTTTGCACAAGATGGAAACGGAGGTGTTTCAAACCTCGATATGTGGTGCAGGGAAGAGGTTCTTAAACCCTTTTTCCATTACCTCTGGCTCAGTCTGTCACTACTGACACGATACCTGTTGCCATTGATGTATCTTCCTGTTTTAGTTTTCTGGCACATATATTGAGATACACTTCAGAATATGTAGACTGTACTGTCTAGTCTAGTAGAGCATACTAACAATATGATATGACAGTATAGTATATTATAACATACTATAAATATATATCAAAAAGACCATTATCATGTTTGCCAAAGCAAAAAACTGTACTGTATGTGTACAGTGTGTGTGTTATTCTAAAATATTTTTTGTTGGATGAAATGTTCAGTGATATTTGGTGTAAAGACTTTCTGCTTGTCAACACCTCAACAGGGTGAAGAAGAGAGCAGACATTATTGGAGCCTTCAAGATGGAACCACTCTACCTGAAACACGAAAACCAGGAGTCAGGTAGAGTCATTTCACTTAGATTATTTGAATCACGTCAGTTGAACTTGGGCTCTACTGCACAACATAATGACAACAATAGTATTTGTAACCTCGTTTGCTGTTCACATTGAGAGAAAGCCGGTTAGTGTACTCCTTTGAGGCACATTTCCGATTAAATAGTAACTGCTGAAGCATTGCACCAAAGTCTTAAAATCAGCAGTGTAGTGTAGTCTGAACCACAAAAACACAGCCATGATGGTGTATGTCTGACAACCAGATAGGAGTGTGTATGTGCGTGTGTGTAAATGTTATCTTCTGTGAGCCAGCTTAAAAATATCACAATTCTATTCTGCATGAAGTTAAGTTGATGTGCTGTATTTGTGACCTGATTTAATTAATACACCCTATTAGCATCATGCATTGTACTTAACTTTTAAAAAATCTGCTACTGCTGTGTGTGCTGGTGTACATGCTCCTAGCCTGCAGATGGGTTCAGATCAGCACTATAATTTGTCTGAAAGACAAGCAGACGGAGAGAAAGACAAACAGCTACCTCCCCCCACAATGAGGCACCTTACAAAAGCTTTCGCTCATACAATCTGGAATCTTCAATCTAATTAGAGGTTATTAGCACCAGCTAAAATGGGCCTCCATTCTGTAGAGATGAGCTGTCTGTAGCCAGTGGTCTGTGTGGACTGACGGTAGGGGTGGACACAATGACAGCAACACCTGGACAATGGAACACAGTCCAAACAGCTTTACAATTGATCCTTTTCTGAAGCAATAATGTTCAATGTCAGAAATGTGTTAATTTGTCTTTCTTTATTCTTGTTTTTGTATAATATTGAATTAGGATCAAATGACGAGGCACACTGTAATTGGTTATAGAGGCATTTGGCCAGACTTCAGGCACACTGATACTGGAAATAGCTGCATTAACAATGTACACTGACATTTTTAACAGATTCCTGAACTGTTTTTCTTTCAACAGGGCTGGTCACAGATTATAGGGTAAGATTAATTATTATAAATATTATTAAGTCTATTGCAAAAAATAACCCATTTAAACATAACCTAACTGTAACTGTTCTCCTTCTCTGTCCCTCCTCTGTCCTGCAGCACTGGCAGATTCCACTGGGAAGAAGATTTCGCTCACTAAAGATGTGGTTTGTTTTCCGTTTGTATGGACTTAAAGGCCTGCAGGCTCATATACGGAAGGTAGGACACCAACTGAATGCTCCACTCCACTCAGTTTTGTGTATCTTTGCCTTTCAAATTCTGGTTAAAACTCTAATAGAAACTAAAAGCAAATAATTTCTGCTTTTAGATCCTTTTTTTATTCCTTACATCCCATAACCCAACATTTTCACAAAGAAATCACCTTTATTTTAAAAAATACAAAACTCCAGTTATATTATCTGAACACATTTAACACACAGTCCTCCAGATCCAAACACTAACAAGCATAAGTTAACACAGATAAAATTCAATTTATAGGTAGTTATTGATTCATGACATTTACAGTAGTAGGCTATATATTTATTTCTCTAACCAGCGCATAATGGTATTGAGTGGTGTTTGTATACATGCAATGGCTTTAATGAAGCACTACAAGTTAAATGTATATAGCAGTATAGTGTTTAATATTTTTTGTGCTAAAAGGAGTTATCAGTGTTGGATTTGTCTTTCCAGTTGAGGGAAAACGCAGAATTATTCAACAAAATTTGAATTAGAAAACAAAAAAGGCCAACCATTTGTTATTAGTAATATCAAGGTGGTAATCCTGTCGCGTTATTAACTTAATCCAAACCCTTCCTTTCTTGTGGTTTCGTTATAATTGACTAAAAGATTAGCACAATACTATCAGTGGTGAGCAATCTGGCTTCCCTTCATTTCCCTCTCTATGTCTCATTCCTACTCAATCCTGAGCCTGAAAAGAAAATAAATAAAAAATGACACAATCACCAATGCCTGGTCTTTATGGTAAATGCCATCCCCTTCCTCCCTCCCACACCTCACCCCACCAAATCCTCCTTACCACTAAAGTCCCTTCACTGCCCTCATCTCTGCCTCCATCAGCCTTTCCTGTCAGTCATATATGCCTGGTCTGTATCTTCTGTTTATAACAACATTTTCCTACAGTGCTCCTCCTTATCCACCCATGCCCGTCTTTTTCCCTTCAGAGTTTCTTCTTGATGCTTCACCCCTGCATGCCTGTCTCTACCCCTCATATTATATATATATATATATATATATATATATATATATATATATTCCTCCCTCCAGTCTGCTCTGTCAATCAAATGAGCCTGTTTTGTGTTTACTCTCCATTTTAAATGAAGCAGAAGCAGCACTGATCCCTGCAGCCATAACCCATGACACACTTCTCTACTGTACATCCGTCCTCTAGATTAGATAGAACAGTTTAAGTCTTGTTTTTGGTCCTTTGTAGCTATATCTTGTAGAGACAGACAATATGTTATTTTTTTCTTTGTAAGCACTTATCCCCCGTGAGCAAAAGCAGTTGTAAAATGAAGTATTTTAATGACAAATGCATGTAGACTCCTACGTAGCATAGTGTAATAAGAAAAACAGACATCAAGGTCATTACAGTATATTAGCTTGTAAATACCTCTGAGTGATGGTGAATTACAGGCTGGGAATGAGGAAATAACATTGTGGTCAAACAGTTGGTCATTCAGACCATTGTTTAGCTTCATTAGAGAGGCAGGAAAAGGAGCTGAAGTCAGTCCATATAATTGTGATTAGAGTTGGTGATGCATTCAGTAGGCTCTTTGATCATAAGTGGATAAATTTTGCTGTGGAAGCATGTTTGATTATACAGTGCCATTTTAAAAATTATACCGCATGAACATTTGCTGAGAGCAGACTTTGATACACCGAGAGCCTCCTAGGGAGTGCTTCCCACCAAGATGTGTACTATCCCTTCTTTTAATCAAATGTGTTTGATTCAGATGTGTTTACAGATGGTTACATTTAGTCCATAGTAAGGCTATGCTTCTGGGTTTTGGTAGAAAGGTACAGTCTGAACTCGAGGGGAAAAGTCTTGTGAACGGTGTGACTGATCGCACTGTGCCGTGTAATGATACAGCACTGCCATCTAGTGAAAATCCTACAAATTACAGATGTTTAGTATATTTGCTTTGACTATTGGCAACATGTCATATGAAGGGCAACGTAATGGTTTAAAATAGACATTTTTTCCAGCAATTCTCCATTGCACTGTATGTAAACTATTATATTTATTATTTGGCATCTATATTTATTATGCCAGGTCTTTAACCCTCTGAGTGAAGATCTGATTAAAACAAATTGACATTAAGAGCAGTGCAAGTGTACTTTGATCTACATGCACTGTATATGATTGGTCAATTTTACAAACGGTGTGTATTATAATCTGTGTCTTGTCATTATAGCAAGTGGACTTGGCCAAGGAGTTTGAGAGTCTGGTACGGGCAGACAAGAGGTTTGAGATCTGTGCTGAGGTCATCATGGGACTGGTCTGCTTCCGGCTCAAGGTAGCAACATCCAACATCATAGAACTACAATAACTTGATAAATCCAGTGTGGTACTTTATAAAAAAACCCTCATCCTGTTCAACCTAATTCATACCCACTGTAGATAGATCACAATAGAGAAATACACACATATCTGAGACAGGTAGTTAAAAAAATATATATATATTTCTCTTATTGTTTTTAGTGGCAATAGAAAGCTGAGGTCTGTAAGTTATACTAATAATATTGAATATGCTGTTTCATAAGGTGACATACACAGGATTTCTATATTGTACTGGTCCAATCTTTCTTACACATATAACCTACCTTTCAAAGGGCTAAATAAGCATGTAAAATCCATGTGTATCTCCCTTATCAGGGTATGATTAACAATCATGCTCATTGTTAAACACAGGTGACATTGCAATTCTGAATATAGAATATAGAGTGAATATAGAACCCCCTTAGCAAGCATTAGCAACAAAAGCATGGTTGTTGTAAACCTAAACAACTGTATTCCTTCCTTGACCCCTCTGCTCAGGGCTCCAACGAGCTGAACCAGAACTTGCTGAAAAGGATCACTGAGAGCAGGGAGATCCACCTGGTGCCTTGCCAGCTCTCTGGCCGCTTTGTCCTGCGCTTTGCCATCTGTGCACGCTCCACTGAGTCACGTCACATCCAGCAAGCATGGCGGCACATCACTCAGCTGACCTTTGAGCTTTTGCAGGAGCCCAATCATTGACCAAAAGTCGAGGAAGGAGCTGTCCACTCTGATGCCTAAATGAGGACCAAAGTTAGGACAAAAATTGAGTTTCATGTTGCAGATGTAAAATGTCATAAAGGGAATGAACAATGATTTCACAGCTCAATTAGCAGTCAGGTGTTTCTGTCTGCAGTTATCCTGTCTAGTAAGCAGGCCATTAATAACTTATAACAAAAAAACCCAATGTTCAAAGGAAAGATGCAGGTTCCAAATATTACATTTTCTATCTGCAACTTCTTCTTCCATTGACTTAGCTTTTATCTCTTAGTGTTTAATGAGCATGTTATCGTCCTTATCACAATGCACCCATCCCCATGCAGACTTGTCTTTACTGTTTATGCTGCTTATGTGTCTCCTGTGTGTAAAATTTGGGCTGGGGTGAATTCAAGATTTGGTTTGGTAGGTTTGGGATACATTTCTTGAGTTCTGCATTGAATGTATTGCACATTGTGTGTGTGACAGATTTTTTTTTAGTCCATGTGCGTCGGCTATTTTCTGTGGGTGATCATACAGAAACGTCTTTTTATGTGTATGTGTAGTGACACACTTTAAGTGAAGGACTAGAAATAAATGCATTGTAATAGTGTGAGGAAGATGAATTAATCACATCACTTGGCTATATATTGTATGGGGTCCTTCACAGAGATTGAGGTTAAATAATTCTAACATTGCTCCTAGTAATCAGGATGAACCCCTTTTATAAGTGCATTAATTTATTTTTGACCTTATTAGAAAAAAGTAGTTGTATTTAATATAAATAATGGCAGGCAATGGCCTATCAGAATTATTATTTTTTACCATAAATCTTATCTTATTAATCTTATTAATCTGTACAGTGTCTTATGCACAGATGGCCAGTATTACCCAAAACTGTAGCAAAAGACAATCACTCTTTCACTGAAGGTCAGTTGGATGAGAATTAAAGTATGCTACTTTTTGGGTACACAGGACCACTATTTGTTTCCTTCTCTCAATCATTACAATTATACTGGGAATTTATTAGTGACACAGACTTAACATGATTGCCTTGTACTGTATAGTATTTTGTATTTTATTTATTTCAGGCAGAAACAAATGAACAAATGACTAGAGTTGAAAGAAATTTAAATCTAAGTCAATACATTCAATATTCTGAGTGCACACTGTCTAACACTGATTCTGTGTGCCAATACAGTAAGGTCATTCAAGTGTACCATTGTGTTTAAGAGGAATCCAGAATCGTTTATATTCCCAACATATCTCTCATCGTATATGTTTAACCTTTAGCATCAAGATTTAAGGCATGATGCTGTCATGATGAACACATGTAGTTAAAAAAAGAATAGTGTCCTCTCTGTTGTCCACATGCACAATATGTCTTGTCGCTATGGTTTTTAGCTCGCTAATCCTTCACATTTGTCTGCCAGGAGATATGTAAATCTGTGGCGTGACATCACCAAACCTTGTTGTTAATTCATATGATTGTGTCAGTCAGCTGCTGTTGCTGATCCAGGTGTTTTCTTTTTGGCTTGATTGTGTGCTGCATGCAATGATATAGGTTTATTTTATTAAAGTGTACTGTGGTCTGCATAGTCTCTGGATGTAATTTTTTTAAAACCTCAAGGATAACAATATATCAGTGATTTGATTGTGTGCACAATTAGACTAGTTTAAGAGCAGAAGGGTGAAGCTGAGGAACTGTAGGCGACAGCAGTGGTTCCCAAAGTGGGTGCCACAACACCCTGGGGTGGATTGAGATCAATATTTACCTTATCCTTTTTCATTTGTGGCACATTTTAATAGTTTCATCACGCAAAAAATCCATGACAAACTGCTGGATGCAATCAGAGGTTATGTTTCCCAGTATATTATAGTATAGCCTGAAAGTCCTGATGTGCCTCTACTGCAGTGTACTCAATTGAAGATGACAGGCAAACACACACACACACACACACACACACACACCACCAACCAACATGCTGTGCTACTCAGCCTCCACTGAGCATCCTAATCCCTGAGGACAAAGGCCGATGTTCTATAAATACAGATGAGGATTCAGTATTAGAGGTTAATTCTAATTCCCCTGATTACTGTTCAACAGTAGTGGCCTGCTCATTCACTTGCTGAAGTGAAGCTAAATTAAGATCATTCTGAGAGCAACCTTATGATACAAGACCCCAATAGAACACTGTGTTCTCTAAATGCAGGACTACTTGTGGTTCCTATATTCTCTAAAAGTAGAACAGGAGCCAGAGCCTTCAGCTACCAAGCTCCTCTCCTGTGGAACCAGCTTCCAGTTTTGGTTTGGGAGGCAGACACTCTCACCACATTTAAGAGTAGGCTTAAGACGTTCCTCTTTGATAAAACTTATTGGGCTGGCTCAGGTGAGTCCTGAACCATCCCTTAGTTATGCTGCTATAGGCCTAGACTATCGGGAGATTTCCCATGATGCGCTGAGCTCCTCTCTTCCTCTCTCTCTTTCTGCACTCAATCATGTTCCATTAATGCATGTTCTTGTGCTTTCTCGTCTCGCAGGTTCTCATGGATCCTGGTGGTGCCTCCTGCCATGGTCCTGCTTGACTGCCACTGCTAATATCACTGATATTATTGTTAGTATTATTATTAATATTATTATTACTAGTTACTATTATTACTTTAATCACTGCTCATTGTCCCCCATCGTTATCTTCTTCATGTTCATCACCATCAGTCACTACACTGTAAATAATTTTCCTGGCAGCAGGGACGCCAGCAATATACACATACATATATACATATATATATTTTTTTACGGTATTCATCCATCAAATGATTTTACAGTAGTAGACGGTATATTTCTGTATTTCTATAATTTAAGGTAAAGAGCTGGCAGCAGGGATGCCAGCAATATACTGTAATTATACGGTATGCATACTGTAAATTGACTTTACAGTAGTAGTCTGTAAACCAGAAATACAGTATTTCTGTATTCAAACTGTTAAATGATTTCACAGTCTAATACAGTAAAAAAAAATAAATGCAACATATTTCTATGATTATTTGGAAATTACAATAATATTCTGTCTAACCTGTTACTTTAACTTCTCAGTTTACTGTAGACAGACACAGTAGATAATACAATAACTCAATTTAGCAGTTTCTAAAATATCAGTCTAAAATGCAATCAATATTAGAACTGCATTATTCTCAGGGCTATAGACAATTGCTAAAGAATTTTTGTGAATATTGTGCAAAATAAGCAATAAAAACTTAAAGAGAATCAAAATAATTTATTTCAAAAGGCAATATCAACATGAATACTGAATACTGCTACTTTCAAAAAACGGAAAAAAAGAAAATAAGAAGAGATTTCGAGTAGCAAACAGAAACAGCCTAGAAGTGTCTGCTTTAGACTATGGTGATAAACTCAAATTCTTAAATTGCTTGTCAGAGTATAACCTGCTTGTCAGGGCATGACCTATAGCTGACTTTTTGGGCCAATGTCAATATTATTTAACACTGTAAAAGACAATAAAATCAGAATGTCTTGATACTTACTGGGTCACACTATGGGGTCGTATACTATAACCCTGAAGAGGAATTATTCTTTGATAACAGGGCGTTTCCTTTTAAATTGAATCCCAAATCATATGTAATTAGTCTCATATTTGACACTTTGACGGGCTTTTATTTTGAAACCAGTTCTGAGACGCTATTACCGTAAAGCTACTACAATCACGTACATCAAAAAACTGGGTCGGCTGGCTTGACTGTCGTTCACGATGTGTCGGCTGGCTTGACCGCAGTCCAAGTGCTTGCTCATGGTGGTACTGTTGGGTCTCTGTAAATAATGTTATAGGGAGTTCGGTCTAGACCTGCTCTATTTGAAAAGTGTCCTGAGATAACTTCTGTTATGAATTGGCGCTGTACAAATAAAATGTAATTAAATTGAAGAATAGCTGTAGACTAGCGGACTTACGCTATAGCAGTCTAACATCTAGAATCATACAGCGGGTCAAGAAAATGCGAGGTGATATGGCCTGTCTGTTCAGACTAAACTGTAATGTGATGGGACACATGGGACATAACAATGCTCCCAGTTCAAATTCTTACAGTAGTGTACTTGACCTATAACCCATATGAATAAAATATGTGCTTTTACTTCAGTTATTGAGGGAAATGTCAGTTCTTAAATGCACACAGAGGGATAGCTGCAATGTAGAGGAACTCATTGTTGGTAGATTGCAAATGTAAAAAAATGTTTGGTTTATTCCTCTTTCACAAACAAAGAAACAATTCATTTCTTATCTGTTTATGTATACAATTATTTATTTATCTGTTATCATGGTTATCATTTTTTATGTGCTTTTTTTCATTAGTTAAACTTTGTAAGATTTTCGATATGAGAAAAAGCCGTTTTTCCAATCAGATTTGGAGTATTGCAGTACTCCACAGTAGAAGCACAGCACTGAAAAATGCCATCTTAATGTCAAAGACTACATGTAAAAGCATATGAAAAAGACAACAATACATAATTTATTTGCAACGACAATATCATTTAATAGAAAACATTAGTCCAATAAAATAACTGGATTGTAGAAAAGTCATGGCAAAGGTATAATACTCTTCCTTTAGCGGTAAAAGTTGTACTTTATACAAAATGAACATAAAGATCTATTTAGATTCAATTAATGTGCATCTCTGGTATTGACCTAGATGACTGGAAATATCCCCACACAGACTCCCTCAGGGAATTTGTTGATGTGGGCAGCTTTTTATGGCATCACCATTACTGGCTACTCTGGATGGTTGTCTCAGCCCCCAGATGCTTTTAGAAATGCTGTATTAGGCCAATTGTGATTAAACATTTATGTTAGCTCTTTGGGCCTTTGATACAAGGCAATGTAAAGCTTGTAAAACCACAGGAATATTTGCTGTGGTGTAGATTAGTGTCACTCACCCTCAACCTACTGGTGTATATTTGTGTATCATGAACGCCACTGCCACACAAATGTGTTCCCAGGGACAATTACGGTCTCTAGGGCTGCAGTTACTTAGTTTGCCCACAAGAGGTTGCCATTACACATGCTGTCACGATCGAGGCTGTCACAACTTCCATCAACTGAAAGCCATGCAGTTGTCATTGGATGACCCACTTTCCAAAATATGCTCTTGATACTTACACCAACAGATATACACTACATGACCTGCTCTTTGCATTGCCAGTATGTCTTTGGGTTAAATACACCACTGTGTACTATGTAAAGACACTGTTAGTAGGTTTATGTGTTGAGTGTCACTGTTAGTAGATTATAGTAGCCCACCTTCTCCAAGCAATGCAGCTGAAAGCAGATAAACCTTCAGTGCTATCCAACTGATGAGAGTTATCCTCTTGAACAAACAAAAACAACTGAACTGCTGCTAAATATCTGTGCTCAGGGGTGCAAAACTTATTTGCCTGTGTAAATGTTCACTCTTCTGCAGGTTTGCTCTTGATAATCTGTAAATGATGATACAGTATTTAGGCTTACCACACTGTAGGCACACATGACCTCAGCATAGTCATGCATTATATTTGTAGGAACAAGAAGACTGTCATGATTTGTAGTCAGGCTATGCAGTGAAGTCATGTCAGTATTTTCTATCTATTTTAGCATTCATGTTTTATGAGCTAATCTTTTATCTTTATCTATACCCTCATGCAGTGCTGATCTGCACTGTATGTGGCTGTTCATTTCTCTGTTATCGCTGTAATCAGTGTTTTATCAAGCTTCATCTTGTCTTTGAGCTCCTTGTTTTGGTTTTTCAGTATATGTTCACTCTCAACAGCCTCATCAGTGTAGTTTTGGGCCACAACAGGCAGCTGTTTTTCCATGAAAAAGACTCTAAAAAGCCCACTTCACTCCTGCCCAGCACCAAACAGCAGACAAGCAGTTAGCAGTAGCTGGTGATCATAGCGGAGCATTAGCAGGAGTTGGTGGACAGTAAAACAGAGCTACAAGGGAAGTGAATGTTGGACTTACTTTCATTGGTTGGCCAGACACACAAATCTGAATAAATGATAACGTTGCTAAAATCAACTCACAGTAATCATGTGTCACTGTTGTGGTCAGACCTTGCCCCCAAGTGGCCAAAAAATCAGTTACTGTAGGTTTAATGAATATGAAGCGATTGGTGTCTCTGAAAATGAAATGATAACTTAAAGATCCCCTCCAGACATGTACTAAGACATATAGAAATAGTCTCCTTGGAACAATAATGTGTGTCTGATTGTTTTTTTTCTGCAAACGGTATAATTTCAACATTAAAATCCTTAAAACAAATTTCAGAATACAACATACAACTATGCTAATTTTGTTGATTTCTGAAGTATTCCTGCTGGACAAAAGATGTCCATTCTCAGTGTAAGTGCACTGGTGGCTTCAAGTTTCTACATCACACCCCTATAGACTGATGCAACATGAATTAGTTAGCATTTTAGCACATTTGATTTGCTCGTCTCGAAGCCGTCCAGTGTGCTTTGACGTATGGATTTATATGATAAGCTGAAGCCATCTGGTGTTGCCATCAATAGTTGTATTGATGTTTTTTTGACAGACCACATCCATT